TGAGAAGAGCAGAGAGTTTAGACTTATCCAACTCAAAGTTACAACAATTACTCTGAGACAACCTATTCAGTGGTAACAGCTGTGAAACTGAACAGAAAAGCACAAATCACAGCAGCAGATGCTTGCTGTGTATGCATGATGGATTACCTTGTGGCTGTTTTTAAAGCTGAGGAAAGATAAAATCTCTGTTTCAGAAGACAAACCTAGTGACTCGTAGAGGGTACAGGAAGCTGTTCAATATTTCTAAAATGGAAAATGGACACGGTAATGTAAACCTAACAGAGAAGGTCTCATAGTACGGCTTTTTTAGAGCACAAACTGTAAGGAAAAGCCTGGTTATTCTGCCTGTTGCATACTTCAGATGTTGGATTTTATGATGGGGACGCAGATAAGGTTTTCTTCTGCTGACTCTTCCATGAAGGCCTTGTCTGTGCAAGCATCGCTGCACAGTGGAACGGTGCACCACCACTCCTGAGTCTGCTAAATCTTCCTGGAGGTTTTTTGCAGTCAAATGGGGGTTTTGATTTGTCTTTCTGACCAGCATACGAGCAGTTCTGTCTGAGAGTTTTCTTGGTCTTCCAGATCTCATCTTGACCTCCCCAGTTCCCCTGATCTGCCATCTCTTAATTACATTTCTTACTGTGGAAACTGCAAGCTGACAACGCTTTGCTATCTTCTTGTAGCCTTCTCCTGCATTGTGGGCATCAATAACTTTCATTTTCAGGGTCTTACACAGCTGCTTAGAGGAACCCATGGTTGCTGGGTGTCCGCAAGTGTGTGCACAAGGTTTGAAGAGTCAAAGTATTTGTACAGCTTTGAAATTGGCATTTACCAATGACAGCTGTTGCTGTGCATCAGATCTAACGAGCTGATTAAGGTCTGAAACCTTGTGAGAGACTTTGAGACTCTGGAACTCTTAGGGTGCCCAAACTTTTGCACCATGCCATAATAATGTTTTAATTTTTTATTTTTGTTCAATTTATGGCATAAGAAGTAACTATGCATCACTGTTTGCAGAAAATATTGTGCATTTTTTCCATTTCAAAGAGAAACTGTGTTAACATCTGTTCAAATAAAAGATCACCAAAATCTGTTATTTATCAAGGGGTGCCTAAACTTTTGCATAAGACTGTATGTTGCCACTATAGCAACCTATGAGCAGTGACTGTGAAGGGCCTATTGAGAGAGTTGTGTTACAGGATGTTCTCACCGCAACTGGCCCAAAAATAAAAAGGTGTAATAATGATTCTTCCAAGATAAGAAGCAGTAAGCATGTTTCAGTACAAACAAAGGCCAATCATTGTACTTATCTATACCATCATGTTTGTTGGAGATTGTACAAATAAGTGAAAATGTCCATGAAAATGTGGGCACACGTGCTGTGTTACAGTTTAGGAGGTCTGTTTTTGTTGTGGTTTCTCCCAGACAAAGTAGAGCCAGGTTTAAGTACTGTAGAGTGTGACAGATGTAATGTTGCCTTGGTTTTTGGTGAGCAGACACTCTGCTAATTGGGACTTATCAGGTATTTCTGGGAAAGCACCTGAGGCTTTAGTGCAGTTGTCAATCCCGTGATGGAGAGGGGAACTCTGTCTCTTGTTAGAATTAGGAGAAAGCAAGAGTCAGTTTTCAGCAGCAACCATCAATCTCCTTTGGATGTTAGGAAATCTGTGCTCCATATGCAGCTGTTTGCAACTGTGGTTCCATGGATGAATAGAGCATAATTCCATTTGTATGTGAAAGTCACATTCGGCTTTTCCCGTTTTTAGGGGTCGCCACAGCAAATCGTCACATTGACCACTCGCATGTTGACATTTGGCACTGTTTTATGCCAGATGCCCTTCCTGATTCGATGCAACCCAGATTCGAACATGGGCTGCAGCAGCAAGAGCGCTACACCATAACCACTAGCCTTCCATCTGTATGTGTGCTTGCAAAAAATATGTGAAGGTGTGAAAACCATAAAAACACTTTGGTAGTTTGTCATTATTGGCACACGCACCACAAGAGCATCTCTGTATCATTTCTCATTGTCTTATCTTGGTGATGTTTTATCTAGACTATCCTGTCTCAGTTGTCTGTTTGACTCCTTCTGGTCTACAGGTGTTTACTTCATCACCTTATATAACCGTGTCTCCGCTTTTCTGTGAACTAAACAGGATATTGTGCTGTTAATCAGAATCCTCTATACTTTCATAACACTTTCACTTCTGTTGATCTGGCCATCGCTGTTTTGATTACAAAACATTTACAGTAAAAAAATGTTTTTTCACATATAGATGTTACAACTGCTCTGTTGATATAATGGAGTATTGTCACAAAAATACAAAATTCAATTCTCCAATTTACATGTGAAACACGTTGCTTGCAAACTTGTAGTTATATGTGTGAATTAAATAAAGATCCTACATCTAGACATCCCCGGTATGTAGTGGAATTTTGTAGTTTTGTGCTATTTGAGAATCCTGTTCCCCTTTGGGATGAAAAGACTACGCTGTCTCTGGATGTGCACAGGATTACTACACCTTATAGTGTAGTGCTGCTGGTGCTTTTCAATTGTGTTAGGTTAGGAAAGGAGCCACTGAACAACATTGTGTGGCACCATTTTTATCAATGAATTATGCCTGTTGTTGAAGTGTGAGAAGGGAAGGGATGTCTGGGTCGAATACAGGGCACAGCTTTGATGACGGGTTGGGAAGGAGGCAATATATAACAGGAAGTCTACGCTTCTGTCAACCAATCACTGTGGAAACATCTGAATGGCACATGGCAGATGGAGGGGCAGGGCAGTTTGTGACTAAACAGCGCTGTCGGCAAACCAGCCTGTCAGGTTTCTCAGTGAAATCGCTTAATGACAGACACCACAGACTCCCTGGTGACAGGAGGACCTCGAGCTGTCTGCACAACAGATGGGAAGAAAACTGTGCTGAGAAAACCTGCAAATCCGAGAGAGAAAACAAGATGATACAAAGTAAAATCAGGGCTTTTTTTCTTTAAGCAGACTGGCGGCTGTGGAGAGCTGCTCTATATCGGATGACTTTTCCATTAGTAAAATCGTTATAGGCTGCAATAATGTAACCCAATGTAATCATGCTGGTGCAGCTGGCACATGTGCTCAGCCTCAAGCCTCGTATTTGGGTCTATTAACGGAGCTAAAAAGGATGGTGGAGACAATCAGTCCTGTACATCAGTTCTGATAAGGGAGTGCTCAACTCTATACATTTCTGCTATAATATGGTGCACTGTCCCATCATTGAGGCTGAAGGAAAATGCGCTCCACTCTGAAGGAGACTATTGTTCTTTGTTCCTGCTTGAGGAAACGGTGTGCTACTTATTACAGGCAACCAATAGCAGCTGTGTGCTGAACCTGCCCGCATACAGGGGAATTCTTCGCTACACTACTCTGTCTGTCATAACTGGCTGTTCTGCACACACGTAGCGTGAAGTTCTCTGGTGTAACACATCACACTGATGAATCTACGTGCGTATGTGTCAGATTCCTGGCTTTGTGTCTAGATCCCCTTCCACATGCATGCTCTCTGTCTGGCTGAGTCAAAACCCAGCAGAACAGAGATGATGTTCAGCCTCAGTTTTCACTAAAGGTTTCCTGTTAAGAGCGGCTGCAGCCGTCCAAGTTAGTTTACAAAGACAAGCAGTGGAAGCAGTGTTGAATTACCGCTGGAGTTGGGCTATGAAGGGATCCTGTTACTTTTGACGGGTTTTAGATATCAGGACCACCTCTAATTATATTTCCAGAGCCTCCAACCTTCCTTTGTTTTCAGTCCTGTAGCTGCAGCCCATTTTGTTTTGGTCTGTTTATAGGCCTTTCCTTAAAGAGATTAAATTGAAAGCCACATCAATGAATCACAAGGCTTTATTTAATTTCTTTTGGATTATGATTATTAAACTTTACACCTTATTAGGTCAAAGGTTTTTCCTCACTGGTTTCACACTAGTAAGCTTGCTTCTTAAGTATTGTGTCACTGGATACATCAGACAGAAGCAAAATATGTCCATAATGCACCATAGATCAGGCCTCAGTGTAACACACACAACATGCAAAATCCTGGTGTTTTGAATACTTAAAATGGCAGCGTGTCATATGCAAATGGGTTATTATTTGCTTCAGTGCACCACAATCAATTTTTACAAAGCTTTTCTTCAACAAGTCAGAGAATCTCTTGCCTTTCACTCTCGGGTATCGATTTGATTTGCTGTGAACTTTTCTGAACTGGTTGGGTCACGGCGAAGAGATCTGGCTGATACATAAGCTATGCTGAAGTTTCGAGAGGTAACTCACTGGAGCGGAATGGTTTACTCCCCATAACAATACATGTGTTGACAACCTAGTGCTCGGACAGGGTTAGTGGAATGTCCCCTTCAGACTGCGAGTGCATGCAAGCCTTTTGTCTGCTCATCCAGACACACAGAGCTGTGGCATTATTCTTCTACCTGAAGATGAGCTCTGCCTGCACAGGTTCACCATCCAAAAAAGAGAAGATCTTTGAATATTAATAATACTCAGAGTAAATATAAGTTTCCCCTCAAAGTTATTGTATAACTCCCTTATGAGCCACTGGCTTATTACTTTTCATTCCTTTTAGGCTGCAACAGACTATCGCCTGCCTTCAGTTTGGAACGCAACGAATGCACACAGAGAGTGCAGTGTGTTCACTGTGTGGTCATTTCTGCTCTATAAATGTCACTTATTCATGTTGAACGTTTATCTGTTAGATCACTTCAAGGACTTTTTTTAAACTGGTCTACTCTGTTCCTTCTCTCTTTGACTTCACTTCATTACAATGGAGTCTTCAAGTCAATTTAAGAACGTGTTTGGTTTCCACTGTACAGACTGGTTGTTGTCTGGATACTTTTTTGCTAGAGAACTTCGGCAAGTGCATTGATTTGCTAAAACTATGTTTGCTTTGTCACAGTTTATTTCATTAGTGCATCAAAATTTCTGTTGTCAGTAACCTAGGCCTTGTCTTTTTGTGTGTCTGCAGGTGACCCACATAGAAGCCTTGAGACGTGACTGTGGGACAGGCAGTCTCCCTCCCAGCCTTCGTCCTGTCCTTTTCCTAGAATGCAATGACTATAAGTGTGGCCACTCTGCACACCTCCACTGTGTGAATGAATCTTTACCGTGAAGCTGTTGTGCTCTGCTACCCTGTCAACATGAAGAGCAAGTATTCCCAGTACTACAATCGGAGTTTGATCGACTGCCACTATATCTTTGCTAAGAACTTTAGCACCCAGGCGCTCAATGAGGAGAAAAAAAAACAGTTCGCCATCCTTAACATTGTCATCATAGTCCTCTGCACCGTCATTATCCTGGAGAATCTGCTGGTCCTTATTGCTGTCTTCCGCAACAAGAAGTTCCACTCTGCCATGTTTTTCTTCATCGGAAACCTGGCATTCTCTGACCTGCTGGCAGGCTCGGCCTACATAGCCAACATTTTTTTATCAGGGTCAAAGACCTTTGAGCTATACCCGGTGCAGTGGTTCATCCGAGAGGGCACAGCGTTTATCGCTCTGGCAGCTTCAGTCTTCAGCTTGCTAGCGATAGCTATTGAGCGCTATATTGCTATCACCAAGGTTAAGGTGTACGGCTCCACCAAAACATGCCGCATGTTTCTCCTGATAGGAGCATGTTGGGTTACCTCCATCCTGCTTGGAGGACTTCCCATCATTGGCTGGAACTGCATCAGCAACCTCCCTGACTGTTCAGCTGTACTGCCACTCTACTCCAAGAAATACATCCTCTTTGTTGTCACCATTTTTAGCCTCATTCTACTCTCTATTGTCATCCTCTATGTGAGGATCTATTTGATTGTACGCTCCAGCCGCCAGGAAGCGACTAACTTACAGGCCTATGCCCTTTTGAAAACAGTCACTATAGTGCTGGGTGTCTTCATCATGTGCTGGCTGCCCGCTTTTACCATCCTCCTCCTAGATTCAGCCTGCAGCATAAAGTTCTGCCCTATCCTCCGCAAATCAGAATATTTTTTTGGGTTTGCTACCCTGAACTCAGCACTTAACCCACTGATCTACACGCTGCGCAGCAAGGACATGAGAAAGGAGTTCCTGCGTGTGTTGTGCTGCTGGGGGGTGCTGCAAAGCGGGCGACCCGCCGACCGTTGTCTGGTCCCTCTAAAGAGCTCCAGCTCTCTGGAACACTGCACCAACAAACATGAACATCAGAACATACCCATCATGCAAGATTGTACCACTTGTGTCTGATATGGTGCAAACACACCAGAGAGCTTATGCATGTTGTGTGAGTGTGAGTGAGAGAGAGCATGTGTGTATATGTGATCAAGTAGAGAAGCTGTGATGAGATACAGAGACGTTAAAAAACAAAGCAAACACACCCTGGACTGAGGCTGGTACACAGCTGCCTGTAGAGACACAATCTACAGTGCAGACTTTTTCTTACATTACAATCAAAAGTGTGTGAATTCACAATCAGCATTCAACCAATTCACCCATGCATTGGGTATAAAACCGAACGCTTAGTTAGTGAGAAAGTTCAGAAATGTGAAAATAGCTTTTCATCGGTACTTCATGTATATGCTGCCTGTCATGTTGTTATTGTTTTTTCTTTCTAAACATGAACGCCCCTAATAAAAGCCAAAAATAGAAACATAACATGCTTAATATCATAGTTATGGTGAGTTGTTTTGGGCCTTTCGAGAACTGCATCAATGCAAAGCTTGCCAAGTTGCACTTTGTAGCTTACTTCAGAGATTGTTGTTGTTTGTAAGGTTTAATCACATTACTCTCCTTCACTGATATTTGTATACAGTGACTCTGTAGGTGACTACAGGGTCACCATTCAGTCTTTACAGAGCTGTAATCAGTTTCACTCAGCACCACACTCCACAGAAAAGAAAATCCTACAAGTGACTGCTCAATAAAATCAGGTCTATATATTTCCTGTATAACCTTGTTTAAACCATTTGATAATCTACAAAAATGTAAATAATCAGCTTACATTTATTGCATGAAATTCTAACTCATTTGTAAGCACTAATGTGTATGATATATTCCAGCTCCAGCTTCCATCACTAACACCCCTTCCCTTATTGGTCCTCATATTCTGTTCCTCTTGCTTTGACTGTTGTCTTTTGTATCCGAACAGTTTCCGCTGAGGAAGGCCTAATCAGAAAGCACATTTCCTGAAGCGAGTTGGCACTGATGAATCTTTCTCAGTGACAGCTGTCCAGCAGATTTGACTAATGGGACTGATGTCCTGACAGTGTTGTAGCAACATAGCAGCAATGTGCTGTCTCTGTTATTGCCTTCCTCTTGGGGAAGTAGGCTGAATGTATGTATGAAGCGTTTGGGGCAGGCGCCCCATTGTTAACAGTATTATTGATCATTATTTTGAATTACCAAGTTATTGACAGGGTAGGTCACACTCACTGTGAAGTCTTAAACAGCACCATGAACAAGATTTTTGATTTTTTTTTTTTTCATTTTGTTTTGTTTTGGTGAACATCTTGATTAAATTTGCTAGCCAAATGCATTGCGATACTTAAGATTTAATGTGTCATCCTATGAAAGACCCTGGCCTCCCTACAAAATAAGAGCTCTGGTTCCAAATGCACAAAAGGGGGGGGGATCTGCCTCCCATCCTCATTCTCTGATATCCTATAACACACAACTTCCTTCAGTCCTAGGACGTCCTGTTTGTCATTGTTCGGTTCCTGTTGTTCAGGATTACACTAACCTTTTCCCTGTGAACACATTTAAAGTTCTTGTCTCCCTTTGTGTTTTTTATATTGACTTATACATGTAGATGGCCAAGTAGAAAGGGTGAAAAGCACTTTGGCAGCTTCATTGATCCCTGTTTTTAAGATAGAAAGGTGTTTTAATCTGTGTACCTATCACTTTATTGTGTTGCCTGGTTCTATAATTTTTTATGGCATGAATACATATGTATCTTTGTACAGTATGTATGATTTGTGTTGTATGAAATGTCTCATGTGCAATAGCCTTGTGTGTCCTATAGCACGCTGCCTGTGTTAAATTGGTACTTTCTGAAACACTAATGGAGGTACATAAATGTTTTGTTAATTATATTCCCTTTTATAACATAAATGAAATACTGAAAAAAATTATTTAGTGTGTTTCATTTTAATTCTGAGTTGCCGATTGCAGCTGCAGCATATCTGCAGGTCCTGAGATGCCTCCCTATTGTGTTTAAATCTGAGAAGTATTCCAAATGCAGTGTTTAATCCAAACATGCTCTGACAAGGTCAGAAAAACACTAGCTTCAACATGAAACCACACAATTGTACATGTAAATGCTGCTTGACCATCAATCATGGGTATTTTACTTAGTAAAACTGTTAGAATGCTAAAAGGCCAAAGGAAGCTGGAGCTTGTGTTGGAAGCTAGGGAGAGTGTAGGGAGAGTAAAAATGGGTGCGGTAAAGAAAAATGTCCATTTGTAAAAGAGTTTGTCTGAGAGAAGCATAAAGAATGGCCTTGGGAGAGGTTTTTGGGTACAGGGGAGATTTGGGGTAAGGGGGGAGGCTGACTTATACTGGCCCTGGGAGAGTTAGGCCTGTTTCCTGTCAGATGTCCAGGATTCCTGGGTGGGAACATTGGCTGAATCAGCCCCAAGAGGCTGTGCTACCAGGAAATCTGCCAAGTCTTTCCAGTGCCCTACAGGATGTGACATCAAGCTCGGAAACTTGTAGGTGAAAGCTGTATATACACAAACATTTAAGACAACGCACACACCTGAGAATTATCTTAATTAGATTTGAATTAGATTATGTAAATATAGTAGGCTCAGACACATAGCCAGTATGGAAAACAGATCAGTAAAATGTCTATAGATTGAACTTGTGTGAGGAAATGCACAGTAAATGTGACCAGGTTAGGGCAGACGATTCAAAACCATGATATAAGAACCTCCAAGAGCCAAACTCCAATTTTCAGGCTCTCAGTGACACACTGCCACCTTGTGGTAAAAGGGGCATATAGATAGCCATTTGGATGTTTACTAAATGAAATCATATTCTTTAAGTCAAATTTGTATCTCCATTAGGTCTGTAACTAACCTTTATTTTCTTTGTCAGTTAATCTAGTTGATTAATCATTTGCCTATAAAATGACAGAAAGGGGTGAAGAATACCTGCTATTTTCCTGCAAATATTTGTTATTGATGCTTAAAAATATGATTAAATAGATTAACTGGATATTAATTAAAATGGTTCTATAGACTAATTGTTGCAGTTCTAGAAAGAGAAACCCAGCCAGGATCTGAATCATAAACATAGGCTACGTTAAACATACATTACAGCATCACTGGAAAGTACGTCATCTAACCTATCCTGCACTAAACTACTCCATTATTCACTGCTACTGAATGCTTTCAAGTACAGATATGTGCAAGCACAGTATAGAAGCTGAGAGGCTATACTCTGGTGCTTTTTTGACAGCAGCCAGTAGATGGGGCTGTGGTAGCACTGCCGCCATTTTGAACTGAAAACACCAATGGGAACAGTACAAGCCCTACAGACAAATAACTTAATTGACACAAACATGACAGAGAAAGTGAATAAAAGTGGAATAAAAGAAAACAGTATTTGGCACACAACTGTTAAAATTATCACTGTGAGAATGAACAGCGTATAAAAGTCTATGCTAGCATAAACTTGATGTTTTTGTTCAAAGGACGTAAGGTGAGCTACACCTGTCAAGTGTATAATTGTCTACAATAAACCATCACAACTCTGTGGAGTTACTAAGAAAATCAGTTTCAGATTTATGTCTCTGTTTAGTACCAAACTGCATGATTCTTTCTAGGAAACCTTCAGGAAATTATTAGGGAATAGCAGACCTGTGAAATGAGAAGTTACTGAATGTTACTTTATCTGTTGCATATAAATGTGATATGCTGGACTCCATTGGGAAAACTGGTGGGTTTTTTATGTTGTTACTAAACATATAGCTCATATAGCACAACACAAGGTCTCTCATTGGTCATCTGGAAAAATCAGAAAACAACAAAGGTACAAGACTTGCTCATATGGAGTAGATTCTAAACTTTACAGCAATGGACATTATGACTTCTAAAAAAGTGTAGTGTAGAGCAGAATTAGTTTGTGTCAATTAGTGGATCAACAGAAAAAATGTAACTACATTGTTTAATTGATTTATTATTTGAATAATTTTTCAAGCAACAAAATGCTAAATATCATCTGGTTCCAGCTCCTGAAATGAGAAATGTTGCAGCTTTCAAATCTTTATTTTTACATTTTCACATTTACCTGAATAGGGTCGCAGGGGGGTGGGGCCAATCACAGCTGATAGTGGGCGAGAGGCGGGATACACCCAGGACAGGTCGCCAGTGTATCACAGGGCATCCCATTGATATTGCTCATTAGAAAACAATGCTTCCGCTTGGTCAGTTGTCTACAACATCTGGGAAACAATAGGGGTAGATCAAGTCAGTTGTTCATTTTAAGAAAATTATATTTTTAAATGTACAACCACGTGACAATGTGGCTGTATTATGTAAATGTTATAGTATATAATAATGTGCTTCGCTTTACAAGCCATAACTTAACAGGGATATTTTCCATCCGACGTTCACATCGGTTTACCCATAAATCAGTATAGTGGTACAGTCCATAGCATCCCGCGTTTCCGCGCGAAAAGCCTGCCCGCGCGCCCGAATTGCTTATAGCATCCATTGCAAGAAATAGCACGCGTCTGGTAGTTGTTGTGGAGCAGCGCTGTGGTCAACAACAGCGGTTTCAAAGATTTTAAACGTATTTTAACGCAGGTTTTTTTTAATTTTTAGATCTCTTTTGTCTTACACGTTTAGCTAGCTGTTTACCATGCCAGCCAGGACTTCCCTGTTTCTGCCAGAAGATGTCAGGAAAAGGTAACGTCAACGTTTGTAACCAGAATACTAATAACGTCCTGATGATGTAGCATACACCTACAGCTTGTCTTACTTAAAAAATCACAGCACCATCAGTGAAACCCAAATAACCAGCTTCTCTGGGAGTGTCCTGGTTGTGATGAACGGAGCCACCACTTTACCCTTTGCTTGTACTAGCAGGTACAGCTAGCGTTAGCTTGTTTCCACTTGACAACCAGATGCCGCATAGCCTCCAGTTAACGTTAGCCAGTTAGCATCTTAGCTTGTCAATAGATTGAGGAGCGTGTAAGATTTGGCGCCACGCAGGTAGTGTTGCCATATAGGTTTCTAGTAGCTTGCTGTTGCTCCGGTTTTATTGCTACCAGCTTGGTAGCGATTGTGCTTCTATATGATCTGCGCTGTGCTGCGCCCCCGTTAACTTACGGTAGTGTTGATTTGGCTTGCTCTTCTTTCACAGGCTGCAGGTGCTGGATGAGAATGGATTTTCAGACGAGGTGGGTTCTGTGTCTACTTGCTGCACCAGAAATCCTGCGTGTCATCTCAACAAGTTTATTTTTTCAGCTGCTCATTGATTGTGGTTAAGCTGGAAATCCAAAAATCATTAAACATGATAGTGTCACCTACAAAGGAATCTCCGTGCTCAGTTGGTTTTCATTTATCTAATATCTGTAATATGGTTTAGTTCAACTGAAGTTTGAATGAGTCTATTGATGAACAGAAACAAGCCCCTGAGCTGCTTCATGCTTGTAACATGCAGAGCGCATGTTACAAAACTAAACAGCATTAAATAGCTCCAGAACTCATTCTACAGATGTGTAATGAAGTTATCATTAGTTCAAGTCTTGTTGCTGTTTAAAAGTTTTCATGTAAAGTATGTAGTGATTTGAGATGATGATCTCTTATTTCAAGTTTTATTATGTTAGAAATATAAAACAGATATATGTATTGTGAAGTATTTATTAGGTGGACTAGTAATAATTAACATTTTTATAGCTATTATCCAGCTGCAGAAAGCCTGCTTGTTTCTGTTACAAGATGCATTTTAGGGCAGTAATGTCTGTCAAATCACTCAAATACACCTGCCAAGCCATATATTATATGTATCATTCATTTTTTGTACTATTTGTTTAATTTAGATTCTTTATGATTTAAACTTGTCAAAAAAGTTTAGGGTTACAACAGTTAACCTTTCTGACTACACTTTTTGTTTTAATTGCCACTCCAGGATCATGTAAAAGAGAGGCTCAGGTTGGTGCAAGACTTCCTGCATGTTGATGCTCAGGATCAGCTGACCAGGCTTGAGGAAAAAATGAAATGTTCAGAGATCTCAATGGTTAGTGACTCTTTTAGATATCTAAATCATTACTAATCCTTACACTTTGCTGTTTATTATTTCTCCTGTGTTGTGACGTATGCCCTATACTCTCATCAGGAGGTTTACATCTCTAAAGTAAAGGCTTTGCTGGGAAAAGAACTTAATCTTGAAAATGGCTCACCTGTTGATGGCGTGGAACATAATGGACAGACAAATGGCTTCACAAATGGTTCCCACAAAGATGAGGATGGTGAAGATGCAACCATGGATGTACAGGAGGAAGAGGAGGCTGTCAAGTCACCAACTGCTTCTAAAGGGAAGGGTGGACGCAGGAGCAAAGCAAATTCTGACACCAAAAGTAAGTTTGAAATTTTGTATTAATAATGATCATCCAACAGCATCTTTCAAAGGTTGAGATCACCCACAAATGAAATGGATTAAAACAATGGTGTAGGGA